CATCTCTGTGCAGAATATGATGCGTCGGAAAGAACAAGAGCATATGATAAACTGGGTGGAGAAGAATGTGGTGCAGAGCATCTCTGCACAGCAGGTACATAAAGTCTGTAGCTTCTAGAGTTGCACTGATACTTGTTCGAGAAGCCTAGAAACCGTGGGTGACCCTGGTCTGTTTTTCTGGAACATGGTAACCTAGCAGATGTTGCACAACTACCGTGGTGGCTTTACTCCTTTCTCAAAAGTCTGGTTACAGAGTTGCTCACTGTGCAGGTTATAAATAGTAGAAAGATCGAGAACATTGGTTATGGGAGATCTGTGTTCAAGTTCCAATGTTTCAGAGACATTAGCCAACATACGAATATTTAATATCTTTGTAAAACATAGACTAAACAAAGTTGTTTATAAACTCTTTTTCCTAATTCCTTAATTTCCATCCCATTTTCCCTTGTTAACCACTTAGTTCTTCTACCTTGAACAGAAAAGAAATTTTTACTTGTATGTATTTGTATGACTTAATTTCTTTACTCCCACATATGTAAAACGGGGTTGTGGTGTGGTGCTGTAGCGTTAGCACAAGGTCAGTAATTCAAACCCACCAGCCATTCTTCAAAAACCTTATGTAGGGTTGCTGTCAGTTGGAACCAACTCAGTGGCACTTAACAACACCAACATATATCAAATACTTAGGCATTTCTTATCATTTTCTGCGTATTCGTAAAGGACTGGAAAAACCTAGTCTGTCAAAGTTTGATGGATTGCTTTTATTAACTTTTAGAAAATAAACCAGTCTTTTACATGACATTTTACATTTACAAAAGTGAATACTGATAAGTGTTTTTCTAAGACATTGGAAAATACAAAAAAGTATAGAGAATACAACTTCCACTTTTTTTAACATTTCTATTTAGCTAGTGTTGGGTTGGTCTTTTTTCAGGTAGCTACTAGTTATGCAAACCAATATCTGTCCTCAAACTATACAGATTTCAGTTTTAAAAAAGCTGAACATTTTAACTAATTCCCTAAACTGTTGTTTCAAATAGATTGTATCTCTCCTATAGTAAATAGATTTACTTCAAAATTTGGTAGTAGTTTACTGTATTGTCAGTAATTTATATTAAGATTCTAGTTTTACAGGGGATGTGCATTAAAATGATGATGTTGATACCCATCCCTGATTTGGGAAGGTCTGACCAAATTTCTCTTTTCTTGATCCTAGGAAAAGGAGACAATTGCCAAGTGTATTCAAGATTTAAAGCTGCTTGCAAAGAAGGCTCAAGCACAGCCAGTTATGTAAATGTACCGATCCCAACTGAGACAGCTATTAACAGTTGACTAATGGAAAATAGTCTATGTGATGAAATCATTCTTTGTATATTGCTGTCTATTCAAGTTACAGTTTACCTTAACTAAAAAGGATGTTTGAATTTGGCATATTAAGAGAATAAAACACAATTATTGGCCCTAAGGTGATTCTCATTATTCTTGCTCTACATTCGGAGTGATTCCATGCCCCTTTGAATAAGCAGTTTTTAGTGAAGTTTGGTACCTAACTAAAGGATATCAAATTGTAGTCTAAACTTGTCATTGATTATGCCATCTTTCAATAAAGTGATAACTGAAACAGAATTTTTCAAATTAATTTTCTAAAATATTACTTCAATTATGTTTTGTTGCTGTTAGGTACCATTGACTCGCTTCCAGCTCATAGCAACCCTTTACAGCAATAAAACAGCCTTGCTCCATGCCGTCTTCACAATCATTTCTGTGGTTGAGCATGTTGTACCAACTATGTCAATTAATCTCCTTGGGGGTTCTTCCTCTTTTTCATTGACCCTATACTGATAAGCATGATGCCCTTCTCCAGGAACTGGACCCTCCTGATAATATTTCCAAATACTTGAAACAAAGTCTTGTTTCTAAGTAGCATTCTAGCTATTCTTCCAAGACTGGTTTGTTTAGTTTTCTGGCATTTCATGGTGTATTCACATTCTAGTCAACACCATAACTCAAAAGCATCAGTTCTTCAGTTTTCAATATTAGTTTTCCAGCTTTTGCATGTATTTGTTGTTGCTAAGTACCTCTAAGTCAATGCCAACCCATAGCAACCCTGTACAGCATTTCTAAGGAGCAGCTGGTGGGTTTGAACCGCCAATCTTGTGGTTTGCAGTCCAGTGCTTGCTTATCCTACAGTGCCACACTGTTGTTGTTACGTGCCCTGGAGTCGATCCCGACCCATAACAACCTTGTATAGGGTTTCCAAAGAGCCGCTGGTGAGCTTGAACCACCGACTTTGTGGTCTGAAGTATTAGCCCACAGTGCCACACCAGGACTCCTGCATCTTTATTAGGTCACTGAAAATACCATGGCTTGAATCAGGTACACCTTAGTCCTCAAAGTAACATTTTTGCTTTTTAACACTTTTAAAGAGCTCAATTGCAATAGATTTGTCCGGTGCAAGAAAGCATTTAATTTCTTGTTTATGGATCCAAGTGAAATGAAATCTTTTCACTTGACTAGCTCAGTCCCTTTATCATGATGTTGCTTTTTGGTCCAGTTCTGAGAATTTTTTGTTTTCCCCACACTGAAGGCTACAATCTTTGATCATCTTCAAGTCCTCTGCTTTCAACAAGCCATCTGCTTATTACAGGTTGTTAATTCAATCCCGATGCCTGATTCTTACAGTCCAGTTTCTCAGATAATTTGCTCAACATACAGATTGAATAAGTATCTTCAAAGGATGCAACCCTGATCCACACCTTTCCTGATTCTAAGCAATGCAGCATCCCAATCTGTTTGAACAACAGCCTCTTGAGCTATTTATAGGTTCTGCATGAGCACAGTTACGGAATTCCTATTTACAGTATTCCCCATAATTTGTTAAGATCCACACAGTTAAATACCTTAACACAGTCAATAAAACACAGATAAAACCTTTCTGCTGTTTTCTGCTTTTAGCCAAGATCATTTAACATCAGCAATCATAGCCCTCATTCCACTCCGTCTTCTGAAAGTAACTTGAATTTTTGGCAATTCCCTAACTGCTGCAACCATTTTTTAATAATCAAAATTTTACTTGCTTTTGATATTGATGATAATGTTCAATCATTTCCTCATTACCTATGGATCTCTAGTTGACTCCAGGTGTGGTGCTGTAGGATCACAAGGTCAACAGTTCACACCCACCAGCTGCTCCTGGGAAACCCCACACGGGGTTGCTATCAGTCGGAACAAACTGGACAGTAGTTAACTTTTTCAGGAACAGTAAGAGAAGGAGTGAAAGTGTTCGTTAGAGCTAGTAATTTGGAGGTCTTTGGTAGCCTTTGTTAGAGTGGTTTGGGTTGAATGGCGGGGACAGAAGATAGATCGCTGTAAGGTAAAAGACTGAAAGGTAGAGGAGGAAATAGTTCTTGCATAGAATACTTTCCATACTATTCACCCCAGTAAATGGGTGTTAACTTTTTAAAATGAGATGAATGATAGCTGTGAAGAAAATGACAATAAAAGGAAGAGAATGAAAAGATTACATGGATGACAAAGTCCCTGTGAGGAGGAATGGTATTCAGTTAATAGGTGGTCGTATTGGTTAAAAGTTATAGCTACTGTAGAACTACCCCATGGGGTTTCCTAGGCTGCAACCTTTACAAAGAAGCAGTTTGCCACATCTCTCCCGCAGAGTAGCTGGAAGGTTCGAACCCGCTGACCATTGTACCCCTGGGGCTCCATGTAGGGTTTTAGGAGCACATGCAATAAGTGAATTGATTTCTGCTACAGAGGATTATGAAAAGCCTGGAGCAAATTATATTTGATACCAGATGAATAGGCAAGTCAGCAGACAAAGGGAACAGCTTGTGCACAGACCCTGAATAGAAAGGGCATATTGTTAGGTACCATTGAGTTGCTTCCACAGCCTAGCAACCTTATGCACAACAGAAGAAAACACTGCCCGGTCCAGCGTTGTCCTCACAATCATTAATGTTTGAGCCCATTGTTGCTGCCAATGTGTCAGCCCATCTCATTGAAGATCTTCCTCTTTTTTTGTTAACCTTCAATTTTACCAAGGATGATGTCCTTCACCAATGGTTGGTACTTCCTGATAGTATATCCAAAGTATAAGAAATTAAGTTTTCCCCATCCTCGCTTCTAATGAGCATTCTGGCTCTACTTCATCCAAGACAGATTTGTTTGTTCTTCTGGCAATCCATGGTACTTTAAATATCCTTTGCCAACACCATAAATAAAATGCATTGATTCTTCTCCAGTCTTCCTTACTCATTGTCCAGCTTCCACATGCATAAGAGGCTATTGAAAATATGGCTTGGGTCAAGTGTACCTTAGTCCTCAAAGTTTACATCTTTGTTCTTTAATTAAAAAGTTCTTTTGCAGCAGATTTGCTTAATGCAGTATGTCATTTGATTTCTCAACAGCTGCTTCCATGATATTAATTTTGGATCTAAGAAAATGAAGTCTTTAACAACTTCAGTCTTTTCTCTTTTTGTCATATTTATTGGTCCAGTTGTGAAGATTTTTCTTTACATTATAGTACAATCCATACTGAAATCTTTGGTCTTCATAAGTAAGTATTTCAAGTCTTTTTCACTTCCAGCAAGCAATGTTGTGTCCTCTGCCCACTGCAAGTTGTTAATGAGTCTTCCTCCAATCCTGATGCCACGTTCTTTGTATAATCCAGTTTCTTGGATTACCTGTTTAGCAAACAGATTGAATAAATAAAATGAAACGATACTATCCTGGCACACCCTTTTCCTGATTTTAAGCCATTAAGTAGCCCTTGTTCTAACGACTGCCTCTTGGTCTATGCACAGGTTACTCATGAGCAAAGGTAAGTGTTCTGGAATTCCTATTCGTCTCAATGTTACCCATGATATTTTATAATTTGCATAATCCAATGTATTTGCATAGCCAATAAAGCACAACTAAATATCTTTCTAGGATTCTGTGTTGCCAGCCATGATAGATCCTCATTCTATGTGCTCTTCTGAATCCTGCTTGAATTTCTGGCAGCTCTCTGTTAGTGTACTGCTGCCGCCATTTTTTAAATTACTTTCAGCAAGATTCACTTGCATGTAATATTAATGATATTGTTCAATGATTTCTACATTCTGTTGACTTGCTTTTCTTTGCAGTGGGCACAGATATGGATTTCTTCCCTCTGGTTGACCAAGTAGCTTGGTTTCCAAATTTCTTGGCATAGACAAGTGAGCATCTGCAGCATTGAATCATTTTGTTGAAATTTTGCAATTTGAATTTTGTTAATTCCTGGAGCCTTTGTTTTCATCAATGCCTTCGGTGCAGCTTGGACTTCTTCTTTAATACCGTCAGTTCTTGATCATATGCTGCCTCATGAAATGGTTGAACATGGACCACTTCTTTTGGGTACAGTGACTCTGTATTCCTTCCATCTTTTTCTGATGCATCCTGCATCATGCAGTATTTTGCCCATAGATTTCTTTAGTACTGCAAGTCAAGCCTTGAGTTTTTTTCTTTAGTCTTAAGAAGAGCTGAACGCGTACTTCCCTTTTGGTTTTCTAACCCTTTGCACATTTCGTTATAATACTTGACTTTGTCTCCTCAAGCTGCCCTTTGAAATTTTCTGTTCAGATTTTTTACTTCATTTCTTCCAGTTGCTTTAGCTTCTCTCTGTTCAAGAGCAAATTTCAGAATCTCTTCTGATATCCATTTTGGTCTTTTCTTTCTTTCCTGTCTATTTAATGACCTTTTGCCTTCTTCATGGATGATGTTCTTGATGTCATCCCACAAGTCCTGGTTTTTAGTCATTACTGTCTGATACAACAAATCTGTTCTTAAACTGGTCTCTAAATTCAAGTGGGACATACTCAGGTCATATTTTGGTTCTTGTGGATTTGTTTGGATTTTCTCCTGCTTCAGCTTGAACTTGCATATGAGCAATTGATGATCTGTTTCACAGTCAGACCCTAGTCTTGTTTTGACTGCTTATTTTGATCTTTTTCATCTTCATTTCCCACAGTTGTAGTCAATTTGATTTATGTGTATTCCATCTGGTGTGGTCCATGTGTATAGTCATCTTTTATGTTGTTTAAAAAGGTATTTGTAATTAACAAGTCATTGATCTTGCAAAATTCTACCATGTGATCTGCAGCATCATTTCTACCACCAAGGCCATATTTCCCAACCACTGATCCTCTTTGTTTCCAATCTCTGCATTCTAATCATCAATAATTATCAATACATCTTGGTTGCATATTTGATCAATTTCAGACTAAAGAAGAATTCTTCAATTTCATCATCCCTGACTCT